ATATGATAACTGAACTTCCAACAAAAAGTGGAAAACTTGAACATCAAGAAGATAGTTGATTCAGAGATGAGATGTATCTACAACTCCAAACTGTGTACAAAATTTGTGTATTCCTAGCATCGATAATAGCCTACATAAAATACACCATACACTCAGAAAAGTATATCAGCAGTTTCCATAAATAAAGCAGTTTCATTTAAACTACTGATGGCCAATAAAGTAGGCAAAACTTATATTGAATTCTTTTCTGGTTATTAAAACAAATTTTAGGGCAGGTAATCTTAGTTGTCATTTTGAAGACTTCATAATTCAAAACATTTTCATGATCTATTCTCTCAGAATCAAACCTTTTGTTGGAGCATGGGGTTTAATAGTTGGATCATCTACATGAAAACTGATCCGAACATAATAAGTTCATTCGTTACTCAAACTTGAGAAAAATGTTTCTGTAAATATTGATCATGGTGACCAGCAGAGGGATCCAGGATGCACGCTTTGTTCTATTTAAGACTTATCAGTTGGATGTAGTTCCATCCCAGTGAATAATGTGGTTCCCAAAGAGTCCCGAACTCGGTACTTTTCTCTTCAAACGTTAGAGAGTTACCCAGTAAGCCACTGGGGCATGAGAACCACCTCTTGCGCAATGGGTATCAGTCATTGCAATGATACTTATAACTTCCCGTTGCTATTCCAGGTCAAACTGCCCAACCTCCCTTTGTTCAAAGCTTTAAGAATCGAAAAAGGAAGATGTGAATAACTGAGAATGTGAAATTTTAATATCTGAGCAGGAAAATGTGCAGGGACAAAATTTTTAGAACAGCAACCAGTTTTTGTTTCACACGGTCATTAAAAGTTAGCAGAAGATAATTCACCATACATTCTTACTTGTGGTTTCCCGTTATGATTGTTGATTGATTTTACCGACCCCTGTTGACAAATGGGCTCCTATTTGGGTACCTCCATATTACCTGGTTATTTATCATGTTTTTATTTGATTGATGGTGACAAGAAGTGAAGTTCAGGAAGTGCGTCTCGTCCTTCTTGGGGCTAATCAGCCAGATATACCTGTACGCCTGTGATGTCATTCCTACTGAGACTCGAACCTAGTGCCCATCACTTCAAATACCAAAGCGTTATCAAGTGGGTCACTATGACACGAAAGCCACCTCTTATACAACGGATACTAGTTATTATAATTTATTCATAGGGTTCAGCGAAGAAAACTATCTTCTCAACGAATCATTTTCAGAATGTGAACATATATCCATATTACCAGGAACGAAGCCCTACCGCTTCAAACAAGACACTAATCATGAATACCGTATTTAAAGTAGATACAAGGATACTCAAGAATGGATTGTTTAAAGCACAGAAGCAGACCTTGTTTTCCATTCTACTTCGAAGAGAATGTGGATGCACCATCTAGAACGGGGGAAGCCTTGGGAATTCATCAAAACAAGCCTGATCTCTACGTTCAAAAGAGGTAGGTGTAATCTGTAATTTTACCTTAGTCATAACCTTCCTCAGACATTTTGTCTATTCGTTATTTTTGAAATGGATAGGAATTTTTAATTCAGAGGTAGTATTCATTATGGACTGGCATCAGTTGGGGAACGACTGAAGATCTGGGAGCACTGGACAGCTGTTTCATCGTAGTATGGGACTCCTCAGTAGTATGCACCTTCGCGATCCAGCTAGGGATTGCATACTGCAAGGAGTCCCATACTGGAACAAAACAGCTGTTCAGTGCTCCCTAATTTTCAATGGTCCCTCAAGTTATGTCAGTCCATGATGAATACTACCTCTATTTATTATTTGTTCATCGATTTATTTTAATGATGAACGTTATTATTCCCACCCCCTTTCCTTATTCTGTAATTGTTGGTCTAGATAGAATTGTTCGACTTTTCCCATCTTGTTTATCACTTCATATATTACTGCACAATCACCTTGTATTGACTTTCTAGCCATTACCTTGTAATCGTCCCAGAATTTTTTCATGACCTTGAGCTGACCCACTAAACATTGATGGATGTTTTTGTCGTGGCTATAAATACGAATCTACAGTTTTTAAAAAATGATTCCTCAAAAAAAAACATTTTCTTCACCGAAACTATCTTTTGTCAATTATGATTCTTTTGATTGTGAACTCAGTTACCAAAAATGAAGTAATGGATTAAGAACCGAAAACTACTCAGCTACTTTGTGCACGTTCGTGCAGTAGGTAATGAACCACGTCCAGTGTATGGTGGCTATTGATTTTACCTGCCTGTCCTAAACTTTGATAAGTGAAGCGGGGTTAGAACCCGTGACTCAATGGCTAAACGTCAACTCCCCAAGTCAATGGGCCACAACTCCATGCGGTCTATGATAATTCCACCGGTATCAGCCTGGAAATCAGAATAGCATTATTAGCTCTAAAATATCACGTGTAGTTCACATTCTAGTGCATACACTCATAAATGCTTGCTGAATATATCAATTAGCTCCATATTACGTTACAGAAAAATGACTGATGTGGAACTGCAGTATTTCAGGTATCCTACGATATATTTTAACCAAAGTTTAATAAATGGTAATATAGAATTCTGTCGTCATAGAACAAAAAGACCGTAAAATACACAGCTACAGTGAAAGTACAAAGGAGGGTCATTCATAACGTGTTTTGTTTTCGAAAAACATCACTCATTCTAAATAGACTCCTCAATAATTTCGACAATAATGAAGTTCTAGAATAACTAACAACTTAATTACTTTTATGAAGTAGCATATAACTTCAGTTTGGAAAATAATAGTATGAAGAATGTGTTTGTATTCAGGTCTACTTTATGTTGGAATCGTACATCCATTCGTAATAGATTGTTCTTTACCGACTATAATCTGTTATTGCTGTAAATTACACTGAGCGTTTTACACTGAATTATTGGTACACCAGCACTGAGTAAAGCGGCATTTCTTGGACTGGTGCCAACATTGTGGAGACACTTGGTCCCAGCTAATGTACAATTCGTAGGTTGTCGTTGACTTTATCGGTTATGTACTACGAACTGATGAAACGGCAGTCAAAAAAAGAATAACCGTTGAAGAGCGAGTGAATATGTCAGTGTTTATCGAGTATTTCAAGCACTTTTAACAACTGGAAGAGAAACGTCGATGAAGGGTACCTTGAGAAAGTGGATGACAGAAACATCACTAATTCAGTTTTGGAAGTTTGTAGGGACTTACTGATTTCAAGTTGGCATTCATCACGGACTGACACCAGACCTAGAATCATTAAAAACCTGAGAGCACTGCACAGATGTTTCATCCCAGTATAGAACTTCCCAGGAGTGAACATCCATGACCCCGCCAGAGACCAAACCTATGACATTCATGTTGCGGAGCTGGGATTAAGAAGTCGTGCGCAATGGAGCAAACCAAGTCAGAGGTGACGACAGCTACTCAACGATGACAATGGATGAAGATCGCACTAAGCCGCGAACAGAAAGAAGTAGGATAATGTGAACCGTTGGATTCCGACCAAGGGGTTCAATGGTAACGTGCTCGCTGCAGAACCTGAAGGTCTCAGGTCAAATCCCTACTGGTGTCGTGGGTACGCACTGCTGAGAAGCCCTATACTAGGACGAAACGGCTACCCATGTTTTTAATGGTTCTCCTGCTTCTGTCAGTTCGTGATGAATACCCGCATGAGGAGTCACTAAAATGTACGTGAATATTTGCCTCACTTACACTAATGACTTAAGAGTTCATAGATACGTGAGAAGACACAGTCATGAAAATCAGATCGTTCACAAAAGATGCCATGTAGCAAATCGACCTCCGGTTCCCATGTACACACGGGCTCATTCGTATTCCCACCACACATTTTAGTGTTATGGCAACGTTAAGAACCACGCCCTTTGGATTTAAGTTTCAAGAACCTATTCAGAATCTTGGGAATTTTCTAGGCCATTTGAATATGTTCTATCCTTTGTAATTTCCCCCTTTCTATAGGAATACAAATCACGTGGTTCCTCATCAGTACGTCCAAGATTAGTTAAGTATCTCCCTAGGAAGGCAGAATTCTATATTTTCGCCGTTCGATATCATTAGGCCCGCCGTTTAGAGTATCTTCGTTAATGGAAATGGAAACAATATATTTATTCCTGACCCGCTAATCAGTGAGCAATACGTCCATATAATCCCGTTACAATTCACAGTACGACATCAACTGACAACAAGGATGACAAAACCAAGTTGTAGACATTACGCCCCATATATCTAGATGCCTCGCCGTTCAGCTTATAAAGTTATGCTTAGGATAGTTAGCTGTAAATTAATGCTGAGATAACACAAACAGAAGACTTATCAAGTCAGCTTCTGAGAAAAACAGTTTAGGACTGGCAAGTAATGAGGTGAGAACTACTGCTAAACCATAGTAATAAGCAAGTAAATAAGAAACCATTATGTAGCTCAAGATTTTACCTACACATATACAAACTGAAACAGCTCTACTAAAATCTACTGCTCCCATTTCGACGTCGTGCTTGCAAAAACAGATACAAAATTTAACAAGTTGGTGAATGACGAAAATTTTAATTCGATTATATATAATCAAACCGATCTCATCCGTGGTGCGCCTCAGGAGAATAATCATCAATCAATGATTAAATTATGCGTTTTTGCTCTTTATTCGAAATCGTACATTCAGGAATGAAACTATACTATGGGATTTTTCTCAATCGTAGCCAGATGAATTCAGGAAGTGTCTCGTCTAATTTGGGACTCCTCAGTTGGGTATATAAGCATTCCTATTAGTAGTGGTATTTTCACTCAGATTCCAACCTAGTACAAGAAGTGGATCTCATGACTCAGAGGCTTAGTGGTTTGGCGTTTCCATCGATAGGTGTCGGGTCTAAGTTTTCAGTAGAAACACAATCACTCACTGGGATGCAGGTAAATCCACACTTTAATACTCTTTTATTGTGTTTATTAGGCAAGATCGCAATAAAGCTGATTTTATAAATAAACAAATACATATTTTATTCTCATATTAGTAATTTAACATGAGAGAAGCCACTTTACAGGCATCATTACATTGATATATGTTGGAAAATTTACAAGGTTTTATGGGATCTAAATGGTACGGAATGGAGGTCACTAAATTGGATTAAAAACATCAGAAGATTACACAAGTCATGAAAAGAAAAAAAAATACAACTTTTCAGCGTATACAGAGTGTCAATGTTTGGATCGTTTTCAGTCATACTTTCTTTTTTCACCATTAGTGGCTGTCTGTCTGCCAGCAGCCAAAAGAAACAGAACGTACATCTGGAATAGTCGCTTAGTGCTTCACTAACATCTAACACCTATAGACTGAATGTCAATATTTCTAGTCGGTATCACTGTATTAGAAAAAAAAATTGACTACTTTAGTAACTTATGTGATTCTATACTATTTTAGAGGTGATAACAAAATAATGGAGGGGAATTATCATTTAACGTAAAAGATTGATTGATTTGAACAGTTATCGGTAACTGGTTAGTTGTAAGTTCGTTGTCATAATGACTTAATGAGACAGAAAACGACTTAAAACTAAGAAGGCAATAGGTAGCAGTCTTATCAAAGTATGGAACGTCCCAAAAGTCCGTACTAACAACCTGATTAGGAATTAAACTCAAAAAAGTCACTTCTCGCGATTAAAACCTTGTATTAGAATGCAGTAGTATGCATTCTACAAAGTCTACTATTTCATGATAAGCTATAGACATCATCCAATACTACCAGTGGATATCAGTCCCCTACAGCGCTAAACTCATAAGGACTTTAAGAAATCTGCCTCCAGTCTAGTCATTACTGAGCCAAAATAAACTGTTTTTCAACGGGATAGTCTGTGAGGATTCGGCTAATCCCAAAGCGATTTTCAGAACCGTTAAAAAGGAAGTAGCATTAGACAGTGGAAAACTGAGACAAGATGGTTAGTTGTACAGTACTCCCGTACTTTGTAGTTCTTTAGCTCATGTCAATTCATTAAAAAAGGCAGTTCAAGAGATTGCTCCACTCTATGCATATTCAAAAATTCGATGAAGGTAAAAATGGTAATTCAGTGTGCTCACTCACTGTTGCATAACCATGCAGCATTTTATCCCGATAAGAAAAACTTCACCATATATCCCCCTGACTAATATAATATACCAAGAAACCTATTTAATACTAGCCAGTTCAAAAAATTCCTATATAATATTTACTAAATTAACTCACATCTGTGCACTATATCGTAAGAACAAATAAATAATACATCACACTTATGTGTACAATCTTTCAGAAAAGTAAATATGTACAATGTTCAATAGTCCACTTTGTTCAAAATTCAATCACAGTAAACAAAACATAAAGAAAATCTATAAATAAACGAAATATATAAATGTTCACCACTGATTAATAGGTGCACAAGGCACTAGTTTCACTTTAGATAACAATGACATTGGTGTGAGAGGAATCACAAACGGTGATTGCAGAACAGACTGATAATCATCTATCTGATTGAAACCATCCTGCTCATCATTATCTGTTGATTGTAAACAATAGCCTAAACCTAATTCAATTGTACCAGAGTCGGACCAACGTCCAGCACTTAACTCAATGTGTGTACGAATCTCAAGATGATCTTGATTTACTGATGCAGAAGTATCCTCGTCCAATAAATGCCATGAGTTAGATGGTGGCCACCAACAATAAAGACTTCCATGTGTTCCATGAGTGTTACTGGCCAACTGATCGTCGGTAGTTTTTGCACTGTTCAAAGAAATCAGTGGATCTGGACGCCGAAATATAATGCATACATGTTCACTATGATAATAAAGAAAAACATAAGAAATGAATAAATACGTCGGTAGGGTGTACACTTACACATGTTAATTTGTAAGTACCATAATATAACCGTAAAAGAAATAATTATATGAGACTATGTTACCAGGAAGTCACTTGCTAAGGTTTTTAAAAACCTTAAAACTAATAAAGATAATAATATTTATTTTTGTTGAACTGCTCATTAAACACCGTTAAAAATTGCCGATCTGTTAAGCCTATAAAACAAACAATCCTTTAAAAGGATTCGACCATGTTCTACGAAGAAAAACCATCATGTTGGGAATGAAGAACTATTATGAAAGAAGCTTCACTATCAGTCGGTTGAATAACTAAAGGTGTTTCGTGAATATTGAACCGACATATCCCTCCACTCATGGCTGGAAATATACACTGGTGACTACCAGTGGAATCCAGGACGCGCGTTTCACCCCATTTGTGACGCATCAGCTGAGTGTACCAGTTGTTGTTTAATACTTATAACTTCCCATTACCATACAGTGTCGAAGTGCTTGACCTCTCTTGCCCGTGGCCTAGTGGATAACTACCGGTATCAAACATACATCCAAATGATTTTGAATTTCTAGCGGACGACAAAATCTACCAAACATCTAATCGCTCTATAAGCAGATAACGTGTAAGTAAACTGTTACCTGGGAAGAAACCTAATTCAAGAAAACGGTGATGAGGTAAAGAAACAAACGGGTGAAACAGCCAGTGGAAAGAAGGCAAGGAGAAAACTCGAAATTATAAATCAGAACTATACAGTCACAAGATGCTTAAGACTCAAAACAAATTAGAGAGTGTACTTTCGTTTGATAGACTTTTAACAATGGCAACTATGATTTCCACCCACTAAGATACACTATTACAGGGATCTCAGTAAAAAGAAACGTGTTTCTATACACAGCTAAAGGTAGTGAGAATAATAGAGTTCTGAATATATATTATTCTCTAATGTGGTCACCATGACGCTTTCTCTTACTCATAGCACGTTAAACAATAAGCTCTGGAAATGATGTTTACAACTACCCACGATGCATACCAGTCATTTGGTGTTTGCAGTTTCATCAAGTGACTTAATACCAAGCTCAAACAGTCCAATCAATGGATGTAATAAACAGGAATACTACTTCGGTGAAGAAAGTCTTCAAACATAATTCTCCTCAAGCAGTTTAACTGTAACAAACAGATAAATCAACGGAGAGCCACTTATCTAGAACTACTTCGGCTTGGCCAAAAGGGTGGGGTAACACAAACCATAATACAGTAAGTATGACTCATAGTCTAGTGTATAAATATGCATCGGGTTGATTTGCATCAGTTCAAGTCGCCACATTTTCGAACAGCATATAAAAAGGAGCGGATAGAAAAAGAATGACACAAAAATAACTAAAAGCATACACCTGTGCCATTGTGACCGACCAACAGCCGTGTCATCCAGTCTCCAACCACTGATATGTTTACATCAAGAACCCCAACTTGTTAGTCTACCCTTCTTGCATGGCCCACTAATACAAACTGTCGCCATTTGATATATCCTTGTCTAAACATACATGAGTGAGTGGACGCTTGAACAATGATCTTCAGAATCCACCCCTGATGGTCGCTAAGGTCCTCGGTAAAAGTTTCTAGGATGGTAACAGAAGATATATTGCAACGTTAAAATATGCACAAAACACAACGTTTTATATGTATTTATAATGATCTTGACTATTCGTAGGCCTTTTCTGGAAGGGAATATCCTACTGATTTGTGCTCCTTGAACCAATCTAATATTTACACGATGGTTCACGTGCTTCTTCTCGAGAATTCAAATCAACACGATTGGTTGTGAAAGACTACAAGGATCCCTAGCTTCTTATGCGGATATGCATAGTTTTATCGCACATTATAACTCACATCGACAGTTACGGATTTAATGGATTGGTGTCACGCTTTGTTCTGGCTACTCCTAGCCTTCTTCCAACCCATTCCTATTCCAGATTACATTGCATGTTGAGGTAAGAGTTGGCTGGACATGCAAAACACATGTTCAAGCCACATCAGTCGGTGAAGGACCACAACTTCATTGACTTGCTTACTATCCTCGACTCTAAACCTAAGCATAACCTCGATGGTGCTCACATGGTGATTCTACCACAAGCACGTAAAGGTGCTAAGAAAACACTTGTGATCGAAGACCTATGACTTTTTGATATCCCCTTTCAATGGCTAAGTTTCAGAGCCATTTACTGGGATAGAGTAAGCAATTCAACAGTAAACTCGTCCTTTAATTAATGGGTAGTCGGACATCTCGAAAGTCAGCGCCACAGATGACGCAAGCTGGCAAATCCCAAACAGGTCTGAAGTTTCATCAAAAAGCAGCCCGTTTGAACTGATGCAACTCCTCAAGTAAGTGAAGTGGTCTACATATTCCACCACTTCACTCTCTACCATTAAACTGGGAGTAGTTGCAGATCAGTCCTGAAGAATCAACTTAAGTTTGATAGGTGCGAAACGCTTGCCAAGCATACTCAAATTTCCGCTCAGTGTCCGGAAGACTGTGCATTCAGTCAGAATTCTGCACATACTGTCACACAACTACGGGAGCTGAAGTGGAGGTCTTTGCTATGTACTCCACTTTCAGAAAGAGACGGAAAGCTAAAAACTTCTGGTGAAAAACTTTCATCACTGCCTCCAAACTAATGAGTACAGATACTGTACAATACCCATAAGCAAATATGTTCTAGAAACTGTGAAGGATATTGATTCCATCGATATGCCACAACCATTTTGACTTTGAACTGGATACAACTCCAAACTACACAGATGTCATGTATTGATACTTGTAGGTGCTTAGTAGCATTAGCCTAATCAAAATTTGTCAAAGATCATAAGGTGATGTTCACTAACTTACCGTGCAACATTAATATTCAAACCAACAATTAGTGCTCGAATGCGTATCATTGCTGATGCTATAATAGCAGTGAAACGAATCTCTGGGATAACATTGTTTTCACCAGAACGATGGGAAAATGATGGTGTCGGTAGACCAATACAATAGTCATTCATCACTACTGCTGTCGCATCATTCTTATTTAGTTCATCTTGATATCTGGTTAACGAGATAATCGGTTTACCACCAATCCCATGATAATTGTCTTCAGCATCAATCATACTTACACTAGATGACATGCCTGATGGTTGTATTAACATTGCGTAGACAGGTATCAGTCTCTTAGAACAATCCATTAGGTAATTAGTTATCGACTCATCACATGAATATGATACTCCATAAGATTGTTCCATATCAAGTTCCATCGGCAATGGTGGTGCAGGACGTTTCCTATTGACTGAAAAGTGTACAGAAGATTCAACTGTTAACACAGGAGGTGATGATATACCATTATCTAGTTCATCTGTGCTATGTAACAACTTTAGAAGAGCATTCAAGGCATCCACTAGCGGATCTAAGTCAAGTAGTAGATTATTTTTTGCAAATGATTTGAATGCCTTACATGTACCAATATATAACTTGGATACATATAGTGATTCATACTTTGTTTTCCCTGAGAATAGATGTTTTATCTGGAATGATGAAAAGAAACAGATATATGAGTATTAAGAACAATATATGTATTCACATAGATACATGCCAATCGGTCTCCAAAAAGTAATATATCCTATATCCCAAACATTCAGAGCTATATAGTGCTTGATATCTGATGACTGAAGGTATTAGACTAGTCACTAGATGTTAGTAACCAACATTTTCAATTTCGAGTCCAGTTTCAACATGTGCAGACTGAATTGTGGTGTTCTGGTGCTGACTACAAAATTGAACGACTGGTGATTGCATTAGGCATTCGACTTTCAGCCTGTGGGCAAGAGATTCGAACCTTGGTCTACTTCACGTGATGAACAGCCAGATGGAATACTGGCTCTCATATTATCACACACTGCCTGACATAAGGAACTGTACGTAACTGTCAGGCTGTATAGTAAGTATATCGTTATCTTTGTTACAAGGACACCGATTCAATATGCTGTTTCTTTACCAGTTTGAACCCAACTATCGAAATTAACATATCGACTACTTTTTAGCTGCTCATCACTGAAAATGAGGTTCGGTATCTACTCCAGAAAATTTTGAACAAAAACAAACTCAATCTGGTGCATATAACTTAACTACTTCTGAAACTGACGCACGTCAAAGAGCATGATAACAGTTATAAAGAAACTACACCGAAAAGCCTGTTCAAAATGATCTCAGAACACTTCGTAGTGAGAATCGAATAAACTAGCCTGAACGTTTTCAAAATTATTTGAAGCATTATCCCTGCTTGAATGAAATCAGACGAATTTAAGCTTTTTTCACAAAACAAGGACAAAAATAAACAGAGATGATAAGTTTTCAAAACTAATGTCACATGAGTGCAGCGGAACAAGAATCAGACTCAGTACTAAGTTCATTAGTAAAAGTGACACGAAAGCTGATATCGATCGCTTCACTCCGATCACTAACAAATCACAAAAACCTGTGGCTCATTGCCTATTGCATAAATGTGCACAAGGTTGCTGAGTGCATTTCATTCCATTTCACAAACAGTCTAACGCAAAAGAAAGCATCATTCAGTAAACAGTTATACTGTTTCACCATATGGAATATCCAACAAATAAATTAACATGGAGTTATACACTACCACAGTGCCCCAGTTGTACTCTAACATTAAAGTATAGTCTAATTTTACGGTAGCTCTAGGCCAAACATTTGAAAAGAAATGATATTTCCCAACACCAATGAATAATAACTGCTGCTTGTGTATCTTGCTGACATCAACCTTTTGTGTTTCCGAGAAGATATGACAAGCACGCTTGACCGACAGCTAACTTCGTACACCGGATCCACTGACTCCAACCCTGGACTGGATGGGATGGGAAGTTTATTACCTCAGAGAAGAATAGTCAGTTAACCCAAAAGCAAGTATATATATATATATATATATATATATATATATATATATATATATATATATATATATAAGGTATAACCTTGTTCAGAGTTCGACAGTGACATAGTCATAGCAAGAATTCACCAATCAACCTTGAAAATGGGAGGGGGGAGAATGAAATCTACTGGTCATATCATAAAACTGGCACGAAACGACAATTTAAAAATGCCTAGATTCATAAACAATTTTCTAGGCAAATCTGGGGCTATCTAACACAATCTGGCTGAAATTTTTACTTTCCCGAGGAAAATAAGTCTTCATTTTTTTAAAAACAACCGGTTGAAATATAAACAAACTAACCTTGAGTGAATTACGAATTGCTTTACTTATCAATTTAACAACTCGTTTATGTATTGTATTACTTTTTATCGCTTTATGGTCAGTCAGTTGAAAATTATCGCCACGCATAATGAACTGATTACCAACAGCTGTTCGAGTAGCTGTTGTTGATGTTGGCGAGGTCGTATTGTAATGCGTCAATACAACTACTGATGCTAAATACCAACCAGTAGTTGAAATTAATATCAACCAATAGAGTAGATTTTTCAGCCTTCCAACATGATCCAACTTTTTAGCACAATCCCATAGATCGTTGAAGACGAGTCGTGATAGCAGAGCATTACGACGAGATTGATATTCGTAAGATGGGATTCTATGCAACAAAAGTACGTAGTACAAACAATTTACATAAAATAAAGAAAATTCATGATAGCAATACACATTGGTTAGTGAGTTGAAGAAAACTAGAGCATACCTATCACAGTAACTGACAGTTGCCTTAACTCATATACTTGATAACTTTCAGAATTAAATTACCAAATCACAGACTACATGGTTTTTACACAAAGCACGTAACAGAAGCAAGAGTTTATTATAGTTCATTGCATATCGACAGCTTTGAAGTATGTTATTTGGTTGGAGGTGATCAGCAGGAAGCCGTGGACTATTTAGTGTATCTGAGACTTCGAGGGAACTATTAACGTTACTTACCGCAGCATTAAGTGGCACTGAATCGAGTCTCAAGGGTGACATCAGTTCCTTTAACCTCATAGATACGACTTTCTGAAGAATGTTAACAAGTACGAAACCTAGGTCCAGGGAGTCTTGTCGACTGAATCTAATCAACTAATAGCCATCAAAGCGAACCATTATAATGCCGGTGACATTGCAAAATGACCGATAGAACTAACTCAGCACTTAGGACCAGAAAACATGAAACTGGTTGATCTTCTATGACTAATTAGTGTATTTTTAAAGTTACTTTTATTCAGAAGTCTAGACACAGCTATAATTTAACTATACAAAATTACAAAGACCCCTTGAGTACTGATTCACCCAACCTATAAATCAAATCCTTATACAACGTGTTTTCACAACAAATATCAAGAACAACAATATTTTCAGACAATAAAAAGAAACTTGATTTTACTTCGTAGATTCTTGTCAACTAAAAATGGATTACAATACTACGCAAATTACCATGAATTAAAATCATTCATATTAATTTTTGTGTTAGGGTAGAATAAAACATGTACAGTGGACAAGTTGGATGCAAGAGGGAAGAAAATTAAGTGGTAAAAATGATAAAGTTCACTGGTTTATAAGTAGTTGTTGGAAAGAGGCTGGTGAAGTTTGTTAAACAATTTATAACTCTTAACATTGCAATAAATGATCTGTAGACGAAAGTTGATTAAACCAACTGTCTTTACCGACAAGACCTTTTTGGGATATGAGCATCGTTGTACTGTAGTTTGATAAGTATTACCGTGAGTTTCATAATAATATTATCTGCTTATCTGTTTGAAATATTAAGATGTATATAGATGTTTACGGTAATAAAAGATGCCTAAATTCAGCATAAAACTGATTTTCAGTTAAGTATAAGCTAAAAGTGGTAGTGTGGACGCTTCGTCGACACCGTAGGTTGATAGCCATCTTAGTAACCAACTGAAGACTAACTGACAAAATCAAAGTAGAAACGTGCACACAGGTGCATCAGTTCAAGTTGCCACACTTCACATTAGTATAAAAAGACAGATGAATAGAAAAAGGGTGATATTAAAGCAGATAGAGTAGTACGAGAGAATAAATAATCTGAAGATAAGGGTTAGCGCAATATTCAAGCTTTAGAAGATGCCAAGAAATAAATACATGGGCGCCACTGTGACTGATTTTCAGCCATGTCACCGAGAGTCCTCAACGACTGATTCGTATCGTCTCGGTGACCCCAACCAGACAGTTTACAGCCCTGCACACGACTTAGACAGACAGTAAGAGACTTCATCGAGTGGTGCTAGATCTTGACCTGGTCAACCTGAACCCTCTTCCAACGTAATCCCATTTCTCCTAGCATAGCATGTTAAGATAGGCGGTGGCTCGATATGCGCAGTACATGTCCAAGCCATCTCAGGAATTAGGAGGTTATGGAGACTTTGATCTTGTGGAACATGCAAAAATGAAAAGATATGAAGAAATGAAATTTTTTTAAAACAAGATTATACTCCGTCTCAAAAACAGAACGATCACGCTCAAGATCATGGAAAACCAAACACATATATGATCTCAAAAACAAACAAAACTAGAGTGTTGCAAAGTTGCCCAGAACTTTCAGGTAATTCATTTAGTTTCACAAACTTTATATGACGATATAAACAGTATGGCTAAACATAATGTAGTGGAGCTGTAGCTCACTTGTTGGGGGAGAAAACTTTTAATCAATGAGTCACGGGTTCAAGTCCCGCTCCACCTACCAAGGTTTAGGCAGCCAGTTAGTATCACTACCCATTACACGAAAGGTGTTCCTCATTACCCACCACACAAATATGCACAAGGTTACTGAGTGCATTTCGATTCAACTCGATAATCAGGGGTTGAGTATATTCAGACCTGGGAATTCCCAAAAATCAAAAAACATTCTCTTACATTCTGTCACGACAAGTCACTTTTACGTTAACTGGGAAACACAACTACCTAGCGCGATTATATGCATAACAGCACAACACTGAACAGATGTTACAATTCAACCACAATGATCATCAAGTATGCGTAATAAATGGCGACATTACTAATCACTTCACCAACAAATCTATGTGCGCTTACCCATGCACACACACATGCCAGTAAACAAAGAAACTAACTAAAAGACGCAAAAGTATTACAGTTCCATGGAGAGGAAAAATTAACCAAAAGTATCATGCTAACTATCTGAGATGCCCTTCGTTTGGCAGACATATTGATACTGGGTGATGAATGAACATGAAATGAACATTTGAGTCATGGCATTATTCAAACCAGTGACTGCTGAGTTCTGAGCCTGGTGCTCTACCAACTAGCTAGTAGTTCAGTTGGCACATCACTGGGCCAGACCCAGCGGTCACTGGTTTCAATCCTGCCGCCTCCCAAATGTTCGTTTCATCTTCAATCATCACCCTGTAACAAAAACAAGAAAATTCATCATATCAACAAATAAATTATTTACCCAGAACGTAAATTTTCAATCTTTTCTTGATACTGTTTGTTTTGACGGACTGAAAGACAATAACAGTGTAATTCATCATGAATGTTTGCGAAGATCTGTCTAATGCGACATATGGTAGAGGCAACAAATTTGTATAGGCTACAATGTCCTGTTAGAGATGAATTCAATTTATGGTTATTATCCAAACACAACTTCTAGAATATAGGAGGTAAATGAAATAACAATAAAAAGATGATAAGATTAAATAGTTTAAGGATCATTTTCACAATAAACTGATTGATATCCAGTGGATGATTACTAACGTAACTCGATTATTAACCGAAGGTCGTGAAGTAAGTATTTCAGTTACATTACTAAGCAACAAGGAACTCTGGCAACGAACCAACTAAGAACCTATCGCCCAACAAATATGTAGAAGGAAGTAGAGATGGATCGGGTATACACTGAGAAGGCCGACTGGAGACATCACGCACCAGGCCAGGCACTCGAGTGGAACCCCGATGGGAAGCGACGAGTTGGGCGTCCGAGGGTGACATGGAGGAGATCGCGCGAGGGGGAAATGAGAGCTTCTGGGCTGTCGTGGAGCCAGGTTCAAAAGACCTGAGAGAACAGAGCGCACTGGAGACGTGCTACTGAAGCCCTATGTCCCATTAGGAACCCAAGGGACAAGTAATAATAAATGAAGTAACTGTATGGAAATATGAAGGTTTTGGAATCACATTAGTAGAGAGTCCCAGATCTCTTTTGCTATTAAAAAGTCTGTTTCCCAGCATTCAGTAATCCAATGCTTACAGGCCAACTCAGCTTAGTGCAAGTATTTAGATTAGGCTATAAACCACACCTAATATGCAAGAGATTTTGATACTACCTGGTCACCGCCAAAGTAAGTGGAACAACTATTGAATCTTGGACCCATTTAGTCTCATGCTTAGTCTACTGAGTCAGATCTAAAATGGTACGCCAGCTGATATTATGAAAAAACTTTTTAAACAACAAAAAATACTCGAATTACGTAATGAAAATATCATTCACAAAACAAGGTGATACTATCTTAAGTTCGTACGTTCTCTTAGAACCACGAACGATGAATATTTTCAAGCAGATGCGATAAGATAACAACTGTGAAGGAAGTGAAATTCAGCTACCTGAATCTATTCAATAACATGACAACCAGCCAAATTTCAGAACTGGAAAATTAAACAGAAACCTTCAAACCTTTTAAAATCTTAAACAGTTAGAAAACATCACTTTCATTACAGTTTGTAGAATACAATCAAATTTGCATATTCATTCGTTAAAGGCGGTCATCAATCTTCTATTGTCCTGATAACATTTGACAGAAACTGTTCACATTTTTCTCTCAATTCACGATCTTTTTGCTGATATAAGTTATTGCTTTAACCAATGTATATCAAATCACTTGTTTCACTCACTGACCATGTTAAACTCAATACTTTTATCGGGATGATTAGGTAATCGTATCAAATAAATGTTACTTCCCTCAAATTTGTAGCATTATCCTAACTACTCTAGGATACTATTTAACAGTTGTGATAAAAATGGGTTCATAGTAATCTTGATTTGATGTCATACATTCATCACTTCTATTACAATTATTTTATTCAATATCCTATTTTACTGTATAATTCTGTATACATCGATACGAAAAAAAAATCGAAGTGAACTGCGAATGTTAGTAAATAAATAACGATAGTGAATTCATAGATATGTTTTAAGTGTGTATACGAACGACGAACATTTATTCCCCTTCAAATACTTCATGTTCCAGTGAGTCAGAAAAATGCCAGAAGATAAAGAATGTTTAGTTGTCGGGAGGACGATTTTGATTGGCTTAATAAAAAATCAAAGTGCCCAACCAGACTATCGTAGTAGAACAGTAGCAAAAAAAACTACTTTCAAATTTAAGGTATAGCAACCTAGGATAGTTTTAAAGGTCACGACCTAACAACTGCTAAAACAACCAATTAGTTTTCTTTATTGTATGGAAAGCTACCTTTCCGACAGAAATCAAAAAAAATCGAACAGGCTATATTAGCAGTTGTTAATGCCTGTCTTTGGAGTTACACACTTGGAAAAAGCAATGGGCCAAAATCGGTTACTGATACCTTCCAACGGAAAATTTGAAGTAGGTAGGGAGTATAATTTGAGGAAAATAACCAGATAAGTAACAAAGAGCACCTGGTTGATATCAAACCATTGAGAAAAATCAATAGGAAGCCCTGGAACTTCAGGGAAATAAGGCGAATTTGACAACAGAATATATGAATGCAACTAAAGGGATTCAGTGCACAAAACCACAATTGAAAAATGCCAACAATAGACCGAAGGCAAAACACCTACTTTATTCGGCAAAATAGTAGGAAAATAATCTTGGAATTCATTGTTCATGCCACTTTTTGGCAACAAAGAAGGTAAAAGCTCCCGTAGATAAATCTATAAGAGTAAATATGTAGAAAATCATATTTAAAAGACGAATAGCTCAGTGGTAACGTCAATAATCACAAAACTAACTAATGCAGGTTCAAAAAAGTGACGCGGTTCCCTTGAAGTTGCCAAGTGCCAACAAGTACGAAAGTTAAGCAATCATCTTGAAACTTTGCATCCAAGACAAACTTCGGTTTCAACAGCTTTTCTTTTGGACGGCTTTTTAACTGAAACTAGATATGGTTGTTCATTGGCAATTACATCAAATACCAAAGCAAATTTCATTTTGTTAAAACTTTATTCGACCATAGTTAAGGAAAACAATAGATTGATTGTCTCAGTAATAATATGTCCAATTAGAGCGCTATCTGGAGCGGATTTCAATCTCTCCGTTTTAAGTTTTTGATCAATAATGACAAGTGTGAAATACTTCCACCAATTTGCTGCAATTACTCTTCACAACATCTACCAGTATATATATCGTTTAACACAATGCTGAGTATCACTTAGTTTAATGGATATATCGAAAGATTAATACAAAAGGGGATTAGATTAATAATCAATTGAACGGAATACTTAGCTAATAGACTCTGACACATACTATATGAGAATGATGATAACCTATTCGGGATACTACTAAACAGTGAATAACTTGAAATCAAAATCCATTCGAGTCAGTTATGTAGGACAAAGGTCATACTCCTCTCCAATCTAAATTATTATTAAGATCAATCACTCAATCAAGAAAAAGCTACTGTTCTTAACTAGAACAGTCAGATTGATAACATATTTACTTTAAATTGCATGTACATAACCAGTTGCCAATAGAGCATGTTAAAATTACCTTGGTGGATGATACATGTCTAGGAAACTTCGCTTGCATACCAGGAACACTAGGTTCAGCATTTAATACAAGCAACAAGACTGTTAGATAGGCTGGATCTTCTTTCACCGGTTCAGGACCATTTAACCAAGAATGTGTTCGTAATAAACTTGATAAACAAGTTTCAACAAATACTGGATGATTTCTGCCAACAGATGCAGCACATCTAAAAAGAAAAACAGGTTACCAATAAATTGTAATGCACTCAGCCAGCTTGTGCACATCCGCACAGTTGGCAGTGAAACACACCTACTGTGTTAGGACTAATGATACTACCTGGCTGCCCAAACCTCAGCAGATGAAGCGGGGTTCGAACCCGCAACTCAAGTGTTGACAACCATCTCTTTAGACCATAAGACCAAAGTCCTACCACCAACAAATGATAGTTTTCATCATCACTTAGTCTACTATAGCCGTATCCCTGAAAACACGCTACATATTCAAACTAATGGTTTTTAGAAACTAAATTAATTCGAAAAACATCTTTCATCGTAGAACAACATCACAAAAAAGTTATGGTTAAATCAAAAAGCTTTGAACATTTGTTCCGTTATAGTTAGTTAGCAATTGAAAACGCCTACTCCTATTCACAAACTAATTTGTAAGGATAACCATATCAATGACAACTGACAGTCTCCAAACAATGAAGAGTTGAGATATACTTTTAAAAATACCTGAAAAAATTTGTCCTGTTACACTTCAATCGACTTCATCAACAGTAACCCGTTAACCAAAATAATTAAAAATAGCAGAGGGGGCAGATGATGCACATAAAACAAAAGGTGTTCCTTTGGCCTCAAACTACCTAAATGTAATTGTATGAAGAATTTTATACACACACATACTTTCGGCAAAAAATGTTTGAATGCAGACTTTACCTGATCGGATTAAAAATGGCTACTGTTTAGTAGTGTTGGTTTTCTGTACATACTTATTCAGTTTGCACTTATGAATCCTCACAGTTTAAATGAATCAAACAATAAGACTATTCATGTGGGTATTATTATTATTATTATTTGGATACCCGAACTTTAGTTCCTAATTTCTTAGACAGTTGGAAAGTATTTTTTTTTATGATTTACCATAGTATATAAATCTCGATGTTAATGTGGTCGATTCGATGCAAAAGAAAGGCCAATCACAAAGATGCTGAAAAAACTTACGACTGATAGTTCTACCCACAATGATCTGAAGCCACGAAAGTTTTATATGTCTCATATGCATAGATTACCAGAGATATAAACGTAAAGTACCCCACTAAAATATATATCGTCTATGATTAATTCAATCTCGCCTAGGTAACTAGTTCACCAGTCACTAGTCGGTCCTAAGCCCGGATAAAGGAAGGTTGGGTATAGGGCTAGCAACCCTACCCCATAAACCACTCTAACCGCTAAAGAAACTTCAAAGTACAAACAAAATATAAAAAATAAAATTAAACTTATTCCTCGCTGGAGTCTGAGAGGCGAAATGACGTCAGTTGGTGAAAGCCTTTAGGAAGCCAATCGGCCGGTGTATCTTCTCTCGATGAACGTGAAAGTAAACATGGGGGCGTGGAATGTCCGAACAATGTTTGAACCTAGCAAGGCTTCACAGATTGCAAAAGAGATGAGAAAGTATAGCATAGAAGTGTTACGAATCTGCGAGTAGTCTGCAGATGAAATGGAAGTGAACTCTACAAACTGTCAACTGCAGAGGAGTCAATAATCTACTCCGATATTCTCACCCAGACGACAACCACCAGTACAGCACACTGAGTTTTCGAGTGGCTATCATAATGTCACCAACACCATCAAAGGCTCTCATCCAGTGGGAACCAATCTCCTCCCGCAGGATCATGACAGCAAAGTTCAACTGAAAAGGAAGGAAAGTCACAATCATACAATGCTACTCTACTCTATGCACCTACAAATAATGCAGATGAAGAGAAGAAGGATGAATTCTACAGACAACTGTAATCAGTACTGGACAAGACCCCACACCAGTTGGTGACATCAAAATTCTAATGGGTGACATGTTTCAATATCAAACTGGGAGCGGACAACACAGGAAGAGAACCAAACATGGGTCAAGAAGCACTCGGTGAAATGATGAATGAGAATGGAGAACTGTTGCAGGCTTCTACACATTCAATGATTTGGTGATTGCAGGGAGTGTGTACAAACACAAGGATATCCACAAAGCGAGTGACATGGATTTGATTTCACCAGACACCAGGACACACTACACTGGAAATCAGATCGACTTCATTTCAATCTCAAGAAAGTAGAGGAGAGGCAGAAAGATGGTGAAGCAGAATATGAACCAGTGCAGTTCAGTGCAGGGATGAACAACGAAAAGAGGAACTGAACACAACCTATAAAACACTACATTGGACAAATAAGTGAAGAAGAGTGGGCGCAAAGACAAAAGACACTTCTACGACAGACTGGCAAGTGAAGCAGAACAGGCTGGAGGTAGGAGAGACAGAGACCTGACAACATTACATCAAATAACCAGGTTACCATCTATCTGGGATGAGATGAGCGCAGATAGAACCAATGAAAGATAGTGAAGGAAACCTAGTTACCAAATAGGAGACAGAAAGGAAACGATAAGCTGACCACTTCAAAAAACTCTTGAGTCGACCACCACTGCCACCTGCAACTCGTTTAGAAATACCACCAGCAACGGCAGAAACCAGTGAACAAAAGAACTCCGATAAAATCAGAAGTCCTGAACGCCAAAAAGTTTCTGAAATCCGGGAGAGCAGCAGGACCAGATGGAATTCCACCAGAAGCAGGGACAATGGCGGACATACTCACACCATTGTTGCAGAAGGTTTAGAAGAAAAGAAAGATACCTGTTGAGTGGAAGAAGGGCTACCTGGTCAAACTTCCAAAGAAAGGAGACATACGTCTTGGCAGGAACTGGTGGGGAAGCATGCTGACGTCCACCCCAAGCAAAATATTATGCCGCATCATCCTGGAGAGACTAAACAATGCTCTGGATTCAAAATTACGACCGGAGCAGGCGGGCTTCAGGAGGAACAAATCATGTGCGGATCAAAGTGCAACGCAACGCTACGCATCATCATAGAACAGAGCATAGAATAGAAGTCAACTCTCTACCTCAACTTCATCGATTTTGAAAAGGCCTTCGATAGCGTCGACCGAGAAGTAATTTTGAAACTGCTTCAACACTACAGTTTTAGTCCCACAAACCTTTATCAACCTCATCCAACAGCTATATGCTATATGCCAAGTGATTCACAATGGAAAGCTCAGTGACGCCGTTGAAGTAAAGACATGAGTAAGACAAGGTTGCCATCTACTATCACCCACGGGCTTCCTGATTGTAGTCGACTGGATTAGATCATGCAACAAACTGTGACGAGCAAGAAGATGGCCATACGCTGTTTGACCGATGAAAATACCCTAGAAAATTTGGATTTCGCCAACGATGATGATTTATGTCTAATATCTTGTAGCACAAACTTGAAGATCTGCAGGCAAAAACCAATAAGTTGACAGAAGAGGCAGGGCAGCGAAGACGGGACTTTAAGTGAATGTAGAGAAGACGGAGGTGATAAAGATACCCAATAAACAACAACAACAAGCACCAATCACCATGGACGGGAGAAATCTAAAGGAAGGTATCTCTTTCACCTACCTAGGCAGCATCGTTTCAACTACAGGCGGCACAGGCACAGATGAGGATGTCAAAGCCAGCTAGTATCGGAAAGACAGCAAGACAGGCCTTCATTAATATGAAACCAGTGTGGAGATCTACTGCACTCAGCACAAAGAACAAGATCCAGATTTTCAACGCAAATGTGAAGTCAGTGCTTCTATATGGTTCAGAAACTTGGGGCGTTACGAAACGTATTTCCAACAAACTAAAGACATTCATCAACAGCTGTCACCTACGCTCACTCGATACCAAGCATCGATCAGATGGTCAGAATAATAAAAATAAGCAACAAGGAACTCTGGTTGGCTGGCAAAGAATCAACGAAGCAAGAACCCATCGCCCAACAAATATGCAGAAGAAAGTGGAGATGGTTTGGATTGAGCATACACTGCGAAGACCATCTGGGGACATCGCGTGCCAGGGGACAAATAATAATAAATAATAATGATTAATTCACCCTAACACAAAATGGCTCGTTGGTTGGCTGAGTTAGAACCAGTTCGTCAACAGTTTGGCTGAATACACATTCGAAGACTCGTTGCAATTGCCAAAAAAGGTTGAAGTATATTGATGTTTCCAAGTTCATGGAGTCGTTCGGTGAAGCTTCATAGATATTATATACCAGTATTGTGATCTCTCCGTGAAAGGAATATATTTTAAACGCCTTGTACTAATATGCACCAATAATGTTTAATTTTAATTTAACAACACAGTCTACCGCCATATATATACATATATATATATATATATATATATATATATATATATATATATATAAACACTGGATGAACGTCGGTAGGCTAAACACTAGGTCACTCAAATAACAAACACTGCTAAAATCCCGAAATGACACCAATCATCACACCTTTTCATATAAAGTAAGAAACTATAAAAAACGGCATTTTACTTACCTCGTAATATGCATATAAGTGAAATAACATGACAACGTAAAAAGGCAATACCTGCATCGCTGATTATCCTAAGGTATATATAACTGACCTATAAGTTCTTAGCAACACATCAACCAAATGCCCGTGAGAGTACTGATCTATAAGCAAAACCTGTTGTATGAGGTTTGAAATTACTGCCTACCTGTCCAAACCTCATTACGAGAAAGAAGGGATTCTAAATGAACTCAGCAACCTTGTGTACATTCATGCAGTAGACAACGACCGATACCTTTTATGTGACAGCTAATGATAATATCTGACTATTCAAACGTCAGAAGGTGACGTAGGGGCTCGAACTCACGACTCAATGGTTGAGAAGCGGGTTTTTCACCTGTGACTAACTAGTTGAAAACCAAATGCCCAAGCCAACGAGACACAGCTTTACATAAGTTGCCTTTTTTTTAGATATTCTCGCCATAAAACTAAGGATTTTCGTGAACATAAGTGAAGAATAGAATGCATTAAACAACTTTGTGTAAACATAAAACATGTCTTACCGCCAGAGATTATCTCTATCCTCTGGATATCTTCTTAAATTTTGTAAAAGTCCATCCAGTAGGCTAATCAAACAAGGAGCTGAAGCTAAACGACACTGTGATAATAAGTGGTGTAATCTTCGTCGAATCCGACCAGATCCTTCAGCTAAAGCTGATGTAATTATAGATACTTGTTCACTTTTTACAGATACCTGTAAACAACAAGTTAATAGTATCATAGAACGATCCAAAAAACAATAATAATCATTTTTACTACGGAGCGTTTCCTACTAATGATGGGTTTAGTTATAGTCAATTTTTTCTCCTATTTATAATATACAGTTAAGGAATTTGGGGAATGTGAAAATTTACTTGTAGCGGTGCGTACAAAGATTTTCACGGTAATCAGACCAAGATCAATTATCGCAGTATCTGATTGTTAGTTTTTAACCGTAGCGTTTTTCGTAAAATCTGACACTCCTTACCTCGATTTCTCATCAAATCGTGAGTAAAAGTACTACTGAAAGGTCCTAAACCAGAACGAGAGAGCTATTCAAAAACTTCCAAATTTTCAGTGATTATCCAACTGATATCAGTTTTTAGCAGAAACTAATTTGAAACACAGTATCTAATTTGACAAACTAACTTTATCTCCAACAGCGCTCAGGGCTCGAACAGCTGCTAATCGTACATCCTGAATGTCATCAGTCAGCATATCCACTAAGAGATCTTGACAATTCAATGCAAACCGAGTGCTAAGCGACGCAATATGAGTTACCGTAGCCAATGTAGTACAACGCACTTCTGTTAGATAGAAGGAAAAAGGAAATAAAGAAGTACTGGTGTCAAAAATATGGAAAAAGAAGATAATCATAGTTGAACTCAAGGTTAAACTAAGTACTCTCAAAGCCATAAGATATGTAAGAGTATGTATTGTTGATACTGATAACACACATGATGTGGGCTTACAGACACAGTTGTCTTTTGAATTCAATTTTCGGATGGTACATGTTTTAACATCAAAGTAGTCATCATAAATAACAGACACAATTCCACAGGGAACTTACATCTCGGAGTAAAGATGTAAAAATTAACTTCATCAATGCATACACTGCTTCAAAAATTAAACAACTTTTTGCATTATAACACTTCTCTGTAGTATCTAGAAAGAAAATATCTAAAACTATGAAAAGAAATGAGTAGCCTTTGTACAGAGATAATTGGTTTTAAGAAAAAATCTAGGCGACAACAGGATTTGAAACTAGACCATGCCTCGATCGAGAATCTCTTGGATTTAGATCACTAACTAACTAAAAACTGTTAACCAAGGCTATTTCATGTAGTCCAATAAGAAAGATAATTTTCTTAGGAAAGAGTCCGCTTTACTTATGAGAACTGTTTTAACTAGCAACAAAATATTTGGGAGGAAAAAGCTTTATCGAATAATTACAACAGAGTTACTGCATTTCTCGACCTGAAGACTGCACTTGACTCCGTTGATCGAGAAGTCTTATGGCAGTCTCTCACTGACAGGTGTGCCGAGTAAGTACATCACCTTATTGAAGACTCTCTATTCGAACACTTGTGTGCGTGTTAGAGCCTATGGCTAATATCCGGGGAGCTGTGCTCGTCGAGTGATGTCTATCAAGGGTGCCCACTCTCTCCATTCTTATTCATTTTCATCATAGATATTCCTATAGAGGTCTCCCTCTCATCATCTGATTGCACAGTCGTCGACCTAATCGCAGGGAAATTTTCGTTAGACCTAAAATATGCAGATGACGTAGTCCTGTTAGGTGAAGACGCTGACTGATGAGATGCAGAGTCTTCTAAACACTTTGAGTGGGAATTTAAGAATGTTTGGGATGCATTTCTCACCACCCAAATGAAAATTGTTACTCCAGGATTGGTCTCCAACAGTGCCTCAGCTAACAATAGAGAGTGAAGTGGTTGAGCGTGTTTATCACTTCACTTATCTGGGAAGTGGGATCAACCCTGGTGGCTCATTGGTCGAGGAAATCTCTGCACGAATACAAAAGGCTCGGCTGGCTTTTGCCAACTTACGCCACCTGTGACGCTGCCGTGATATCCGATTGTCTATTAAGGGTCGCATAGCAGTTCGCTCTGTTCTACTCTATGGCTGTGAAGCATGACCATTGAAGGTGGAGGACATGAGAAGGCTTTATGTGTTTGACTATCGTTACCTTCGTAGCATTGACCATGTTTCGTGGTGTCACCACGTGAGTAACGCAGAAGTCAGGCTGAGGTGTAGAGTTTTAGGGAGTAGAGGTAAATCAGTTGACATGGTTGTGAACCTTCATCGACTGAGATGGTTGGCTCCGACATGTGTTACACATGCCTAGTTGCCGTCTCCCTCGTCACGCAATGTTGACCGAAGTAGGTTCAGGCTGGAGAAAGGCTCAAGGCGGCATCAATGTATGAAGTCTTTGACTGTTGGTTTGAGCCATGTAGGGCGATGCAGACTGGGTGGTTGGGGTCCGCGAGACAAGAGAAACCAGTGGTTGGCGACTGACTCTAGGTGATCACATATCTGAGGACCGATGTCAGTGGTGCAGATGTATCCCCACATACATTATCCTCATCTTAATGCTATGCCGAATATCACCATTTTCTCATTCTTCCTTTCTCTCCTTTCGTACTTTATATTTCTTTCGACTGGGTTTTCTTTTCTTCATCTTCCACTTCACTCCTTTTTTACCTGATGTACTGGTATGAGGTGTGGCAACTTGAACCGTTACGCATTAATGCCTGGTCCTATTTTGATTGGGATGGACGGATGGATGATAACGGAGTTAGTACTGATGAGTATGGAGTCAATAAAAAACGATTACGCCACTACATCAACGAAATAGTGCAAACGTGAATCAGTAATTCCATACACATTCATACACTGAACTGAGTTAGAACCTATACAAAAGAATCAATGAGAAAAACCCACCTTTGACCCACTAATGATGCAACTTAGCCACTACGTGCACGTTCATGTTGTACACAAGTATCACGTGAGGGTTAGTAATGCTACATAGATACCCAGACTTCGGAAGGTGGGGTTGGGTTTGAACTCATCAGTCATGAGCTGAAGGTCGACTACCCACACCAATGGGTTACAGCTCCATGGACACCGATGAAGCTAAGTGTAGTCAAGTTACCTTAATTACTGCAAACAAAACTTGAGTTTATAAATTTCCAAATTATCCTGAGAATTAAAATAGAGTTGAGTAAGAACTCTTAGTTCACGGGTGAAGTAGTCTAAATATCATTTCATCTACGAAGAATTACACAGCTGAGTTTACCTCACAAAGTATAACATATAAGTGCAAGTAAAAAAGCATAGAATGCACACAACTTACCGAAATAATCATCTTCCAATCCACTAATGATGGCACCATTAGAGCCAGATGAAATCAGATTAACAGAATCTGATGCAGGGTTTTTGCTTTGTGAATGGCTATATCCAGTTGAACGAGAATGACTTGTCTTAGGTACGTTATGTTGTTCAAGCATAGATCGGCGTACTTGCCTATCTGACATAACTGTCTTTTCTAGTGTTTGCAATAAACAGTCTTCGGTAACGAACTGAAAACAAGAAAACATCAGGAACGACTTGTTACAACTGCATCAGTTAACATCGCCACATTTCATATTAGCACGGTGAAAGGAAATTACCAAGGGGAGATGAAATGAATGATACTAACTATAGTGCCGATAAAAATTTTAAATGGATCGAGCAAAACAGAAAGGACAAGAATAAAGGAATACAGTGATACAATTATCAATGGAGTGATAAAGCATTTATGCACCAAATAACTGTGACCTATTTTAAACTATATTGTCCAGCGACAGACAAATGATTTCAGATGTTATGTAGAACCTAGCCACGAAGTCCACATAATCCTACTTAAAGGTTTACTTAACACCCGGAAACGTTCAAGATTGGTACGATAACTTTGTTTGACCACCGGAGCATCTTCAATTTCACTCCTAATTCAGTCAACTATGTATACTAATGAAGATATTAATCACGTATGCACAACAGATATTGCAAACAACTTAGTCAAAAAAAAGGTACACAAACTCGTCAAATGATTCACTGTCTTGCCTTACATTTGTATCTTTCATCAGATAACTAATGATCAAACTACGATAATCCTTACATACTATCTGTATGGATGCGAGTAGCACATAAATTGCATTTCCTATGTATAAAGGTTACTGAGATTTCCAGTTTACTAGAAATACAGTTACAATCCCTCCTCCCTTACATATTGCTCCTGAAAGCCAAGTTTACGCAAAAATCAAATTACTAAACTAATATACAGAAACATCTTGAAAAGGTTTTATTTCTAGTTTTGAACAACTAAAACTAACTGTTGTTCATTGCACTGACAATAATCAAAACATCTATAACTGTTAGGAATACCATGTTTAATAGTTTGGTTGATTAATGTCAATAGGTACACATAGACTTTGTGAACAATCATGAACTGAGTAAGAATGGAAAGTATTTCACCATCTTATTGCCACCCAAAAGTTCAAAGTTCGCATTATAGCTATAAAGCCTGAAGAATTCAACTACAGAAGGAATTGAGGGTAAGCACTGTTGAGAAGTCCCAGACTGAAATGAGATATTTTTATGGTCCCTGATTTTGAACGATCCTTTAAATAACTTTAGTTCATGAAAAGTATTCACGAACAAGCCAATTTTTCAGCATTCTAGAATGGGAACCTATGATATTAGTTAATATTTATACTAAGTGACCGGTAAATAACAACTGAAACAGTAAAACAGTGATGTACCACTTATAAGAATCCGTATAAGTAGTGTTTGGTGTCATTTGAGTCTACAGTCAACTGGTAAAGGTTGTGCAAAAAGAAACTAGAAATACTGGAAGGCAAGGAAACAAGTATGAAAAGGAGAGAAATCGAAGGGGGTCCAAAGTGGGAAGTACAGGGCAGATGCTATTCGTAAAGAAAGGTGCTGCATGTAAATTCAAAGTACTTTACCAGTGTCGATTATAGTTTGTCTAATAAACAGCTTGGTCTGTTCCACCGTTGTTGTTGTGTTAGAAGTAGTTGAAAATAAAAAAGTTTCTGGAAAATATAGCAAAAGTCAGAGCTTAGTGTAGGTTGCATTTTACAAACTACATATGTCATTAACAAATGACATAATTCACTTTGGCTTATCTTAGTAAACTAAGAATTCGACAAGAAAAGTAGGATAATCTCTTATGAAGAGAAAGTGATTTTATGGTAAAAAGCATACGTTTAACTACAAATTTCGTAAAAGGTACCATAAATACAATAACTCAATGTATTTTAGACTTACTTTGGCCAGATCAGACATTATTTGAGCTGCCAGCTGTCTGACACATCGGCTAGGATCTTGAATCCGAGAGCATACACGACTAAAAGCATCATCAACTAGACGATTATGCTCTAATTCAGAGTCAAAATAGGGTTTGGATGGTATTAAGGAATTCAAAGTGAAAACAGGAACATCGACCAAACTATGATGCGGCCAAGTAATACTCAATTTTCCAAGTACATGTAAGCTTGTTCGACGGACCTGCAAATAATTAGATGAGAAGATAGAGGACACCGATGAATACCCAGAAGAATAAGAAGCAACCTAAGTAACATCTCTATAAACTGAAGGTCGGATGAAAAACCATTATTCAATAAGAACCTTCTGCACCAGAGTTAATTTTCGATACCTTAATGATCGATATGATATTACCACGGATATCCAGTTACCAGAAGTAATAAAAGTAACTTTGTGGTACCACAATAAAAGATGTTAGAATATGAAGATATAACATAACAGCACTAACTGGTAAGAAGATTAATTCAAGTGAAATTCCCACTACTTTCTCGTTCAAACTGCTATTCACGTAAAGCTACAACAAAGTTATAACATGACCACTACTGGGGTTAAATTTAGGCTAAAAATGATGTTTTGAGCTATTGTACTGCAGCACTGTGAAATCTATCCAAGAGAAAGTTGTGATGAACCAACAGATCATAACCCAACACAACTGTCCAGCATTCTTTAACTACTGGTTAGGCTTTCATTTCCTAGACAATCGCAGCATCGTCAAAAAATTCTCGGTAACAGAAGCCCCTGAAATATCCTACATAAAGCTTATTTAAGACACAGAAACACTGTAAGATAATTTCGCCACATTAATAACGATCTCAACTACTTATGTTAAGAAATGTTACTGGATATTAGCATTGCTCATATGTTACAGCCACAGGATACAACCAATTCTAACCAGGTAGCAATTATAAAATTCAGAAAACTGAAGATGTAATAAATAGCTTTTGGTTTTGGAAGCGTACTGGCTTAATGAGTCATTTGTATTACAGATTTGACAATAATTTTGAGAATAAAATTCAAAGTTACTGTTCCTTTATTAAAAGTTAGAGGAGTATAAACTAGTTTTCATCACCGATGGTGGCGTTGTGACGCAATCTCGGTTATATATGTCGGCATAAATAGTATACTTCACATTTTGTGACTGTAGATAAACGAAATCTGCACTGAGAAGAGTTAGTAATAACTAGAGGAAACACATGATGTTGTTGGAAGATGTCTAACCGAGATACTAATCATGCAGAAATAACAGCTACAAGCTGCTCCAAATAAGACAGCTGAGATCTTACTGAAGTAATTTTATGTGAACTGGTAAGCAAACATTGACAACAGTCATTTTCTAACTTATAATGTTGACCGTTATCTATACATCAGACTATGCGATATGACCATTGAGTAAGGTGAGTCAAAACGTAAGTACTTCGCGATATTTAACGTTGGCAAAGAAACAATAGAGACGAAACTATCTGAGATAATATTTAGCCATAGGTAATGCATTCGTTTCGCATAGTGGCAAAAGCAAAACTCCGTATACACATTCAAGATTAAACACTAGAATACCAGCCAAACGTGTGTACTTTATGACTGCCCAAACTCAATGAAGTGTTATACAATTCTGTAACTAAACGTTCACTAAGTCACTGTCTAAATCATTGGCAAAGTATCCCACTAACACAGTTTAATGTCAACTGACTAAAATAGAGTGAATGGAAAGACAGACAAACAGACTCGGTTACATCATACAAAAATTCAATAGTTCACGTTTTTACGCTTCCAAAACACCAAGTTGATGAAAAAGTCAAGAAAACTAAGATAAATAAATGTTCACTTGCGGAAATTCACGTGAAATATCACTATTTCACTAGAACTTACCATTTCTTCATTATCCAACAGTCCTTGACAAGCAGCCGCGTACACACACTCTAGATTTGACTCAAACCATTCAGTTAGTTCTAGCTTCGTAGATTCCTTATGGCTATTGAAGTATTTAGGTTTGCCAAAACGACCACATTCAGCAAGATTAAGCGAACATAACCATGTAAGAAGACAATGATATGCTCGGTCGCGTACTCTGGGATCACAATCATTAGTGTGCCACAAAACCACTTCACCAGCAGAACCTGCACTAAGGCATGCTTGAGGACTATTCCACACAGCTAGGATATCAAGACATCCGGATCGTACATGAGCAGACGAACAAGTGAACGCCTATTTCAGAAAAATTATTCGTTTACAATAATTAATGAATAACACGTAGGAGAACATCAGCAAAAACATCCTGACATTAAGTTTTAGAATTTCACTTCTTTTAAAGCTTACAAACCCTGGATTTCAGCTTTACATACTTCTGATATGGAGTGATAGATGATGATGAATGTGTTTACGTTACGATTCAACAACGGGAGCTTATAAAGCAAACTGTGATAGTAAAAAAAGTCAATTGTTAGTAAGAATCTAGTGAAGACAGATGGGTCGGTAATTTACTCCCCAGGTAGGCAAATGGAAGAATGAGTTAAACACTTTCAGAAATATTTCAACTGGCGTCGAGTTACTCTTTAACTGTTTGTCATCATCTGGCTTCCCTCTTCTGTCCAAAACTCTATGACTGACTCCCACGTCACTGAAGTGATGAAACCATGACACACGGTCCATACTATGAGGGTAACTGTAAACGAACACTTGAAGCCTTCTCATGTCCCCTTTCTTTAATGACTATGTTTTAAAACCATAAGGCAGAAAACAGTGAACTGATGAGAAGTACATTCATCCCTTAACAGACAGCGAGATATCATGGTGGTAAAGGTCAGGCCAACCTTTTGTATCCGTGCACAGATATCATAGGTTACTGACCTACCACGACTTCGCAAGAAAGTAAAGTGGTCAATGCCTTCAACTATTTAACTTTATTGTTGGATGAGGCAACAATGCAGACCAGTCCTGGAGCATCGATCAGTAAGTGGGTGGTGACAGTAAAGGACTATATATGTATATGTATATGTATATATATGTATATGTATATATATATATATATATATATATATATATATATATATATATAGAGAGAGAGAGAGAGAGAGAGAGAGAGAGAGAGAGATCAGAATCGATTCCAGCAGCGCAGATGTATCAACATATTGTTTTTATTTTAACTGTCTATCCAGTTTTCATGATTTTTTTTACCCTTCTTCCCCTGACTTTCTACTACTTATGGCAACCTCAGTCCCTAATTCCTTATCTTTTATTCCGGTGCCTTCTACGTTGATTTGCTAAGTTATGAAAACTTGAGTCATCACTTAGTAATTCCAAGTACTATGTTGATATTGACAGGCAATAGTAAAAAATTTATCAAATCGGTCCGGTACAGGAATGTCTTTTAGGTCCGTCATACCTCTCATGAGGGTTACGACACCATTCTCTTTTCCAGGTAAAGATGGAATGGTGTTTAGACCCAGAATAGACTGCGCAAAGGGTGAGTGTAGGAGCCATTAGACTTTAGCTTAAATGACTGTATGAAGTTCAAATAAAAGTCGCAGTGAAATTTCTTATGCCCATTTAGGATATAAACGCAGTAAAAATGAAACTCAGTTACCAAATGCAAGTTCATACACCAGGCAGTGAACCATAATTATTGTGTGAAGACTAATGATAATAACCGAACACCCACAACTCGGTATGTGGAGCAGCGTTTATACCCGTGACCTACTTGGTTGAAAGTCAAGTGTCTACAGCAAACATGTTTGGTTGCAGTAACAGCTCCACACATACATTGGTGGTGACTCATCGTTTAGTACACAAAAGTAGATGGAATTGTCATGTCATAGTGAAAAAGTGTACACTAAAGACAGAAACTGAAAACGTTTTATTGTAAGTTGTCTAGTATGGCTAGCGTGAAAACACTCATAGTTTGACTCATAGTATGACCGGATTCACAAACTCAACAGAAATTCTGATGTTTCATTATAGCTATAAACTACCTCATTGATGACTGCTAATACTGATGATTCCTTATTTGCGGACGGTGGTAGGGCGTGCAGCTTTGTCAAAACCCTTTCAGACGCTAGATTTAGCATTGTAAACTACGCGCCGGCCATTTGGCCTTGGGGGAGTAGAACTCAAGGCCTTGAAGTTTTCTTCAAAATTATGGCCGTAAAATTGTCGGGTGGCTTTACCTGACATTAAATTCTCAGACTGGTCTTGAAGTGTCTTTAAGAGATCATTTTCTGCTAGGATGGCTAGCCATATTGGTGTTGCGATCATTTGTGTATTCTGTAGAATTTTCATTGCTTGTTTCTTGCTCTTCTAAATTGTTGTTTTGGTGGGTATTTTTAGTCATCGCTGATCTAACTACATGCAAAGAGACAATTCTGTATCATGATCGTATTTTTTCTTGTTTTCGACCATTGTCAGATGACAAATAGTTGTTTAGCATAATGCAACTCGATTAAATTCCCATAGACGGCTGAAAGGACCCGACCGGTTTATATTCTGTACAGGACCAACCAGCGACGGTATAAAAGAGCTCCATCACGAGAATGCCAAAATATTCGGAAGTGGTTGACCCCCGGAGTTTCCGATTTGGCGCACGATGCACGTCAGTGAGCAGCGCTGCAAACCCATTACTACACGGCAGGTTCCAAGAAAATATATCACGTTTCGTGTCAGCCAGCCTCCGAAACGTGTCATAGAAAACTAGATTTTTGAAAAGTTTCCTAGCAATGGTAACCGACGAACAGTAGCCACGAGAAGCTGCTGCCAAACACTCAGAGAATTCCTTAACAAACTAATCCGCTACTTCTTACGAGCAAGTTAACGGTAAAGTGTGGTTGAGATCTAACGGTGTTCGATGCCACTACGCAAAAGTGACCAATTTTGATGGACGCTAGATGCCTGATGGTCGATGAGGTAACCTCGAGCCTCTTCAATGCCATCTATGACACTGCGGTTTGGTGAAGAGAAAAGAGAATGTTGCGTGAGTTTCGACTCCTTTCCTGTAGTATATTCAAAAACACTTGTCATCCATTTCATCCAACTTCAATCAGTTAGCTTTTGCAACCATACTGAACCTCTTGTTCTGATTGTTGTCACCATAGTATTTCGTTCAGACCAGAACCTACAGTAGCCGTTAAGACTGAAGGATTTACTTACTGTTCGAATATACATTTGTTGTTCGACAACCAAGCGTTTTGGATTTGGGAACTCGAGTTTGTGCCTTCGTTATGAGCTACTCAGTGAATTGGCTATAACAGGGGCCAAGGGGGAAAAGGCAGCGATAATGGTGACAGACTGGAGAAAAATGGGCGGCAAGAAGACGGCCTAAAAGATGAGAAGGAGATAGAAGACTAATGGTGAGGACTTATGCCAGCCACTCTTGTCTGAGACTTTTAAACCTACGTTGGTAATAAACGAACCTCCAAAAATAACACCAGCTCTCCTGGAGGCAGTGTTACATTCTGAAAGTTATTGAATGATAGTTCATTGGTCTCAACGAAACCAAGAAGCCAACTTAAAAATGCAAAAGTGATCGTAAAGACAGCTTAATCTGGAATAGGCTCCCCGTAACGCACGCAGCAGCATTTTTGTGTCACAGTTTAAGCGCCCCGTCGACTTTATTTCAGGTTCAGATGATATCTATAGTCTATTTATAGACAGAACACTTGCAGCAGAGGCACTCAGAGATGGCTCTGTGGGACCCAATGCCTCCAAGGCAGTGAAACTGATAGTGACTTAAGAATAAATAAAGGTGGGATCTCTTTCTAAGTTCTGTTCAATGAATTAAATAGCTCTTAATTTGGAACGGTGAGAACTATGTGTATCGGGCAGTTTCCTCTCGTCGTATAACCTGTATCATCGTGTTAGGGTAGCCCATATATGGTTAACAGCATACTCGCCTGACTGCAAATGACGTTCAAATACACTTAGTTGTATTACTGAAAACAGTCTATTCTCAGAATTCCTCACAAGCGTCTCCACATCAAATCGTCCCATTTCTTGCACACTGAGACTCCCATCAACTCACTTCTTCATGCCCAGACTTACTTCGTATTTAGGGGCCTCTGCATACGCCCGTATGCATGACATTTACTTTCCCTTATCTCTCACCAATGGCTGTAAAAGTGTGTTTATATAACACATTAAAAAAGAGTGTCAGGTTAATTTTGAGTCGTCTCGCCCAAAGTGTTTCAAGACTTAGTGTTCTGCATCTGGAGCTGTAGTCTCGTTAGCAATAGTGTCCTAGTAATCTAGCTGTGAAATACCTTTGGATACTTTCTATTTTATGTTTATCTTTTATGCGGATACCACTCAATATAGATGGACAGTATTCTAATGGTGGACGTACGCAAGTTTTATAGAGCAGTAACCTGACCTCTTTGGGGTGGAGGTTACCAACTTTATGGCCTATCAGGATCCCAGATTTGCGAGTCTGTGATGCTACCTGTTCAGAAAATGTCAGGTCCCTTGAATATCTTATTCCAAGGTCACATACACTTTCTAAGGACAGGTAGTTTAGTAGGCCGAGGATGTAGTTGGATATCCACCGATGGGACACCAAAACATATGCAGCCACATTTGCTCATACTGAACTGAAGTTTCCAAGCAGTAGACCATGCGGATACTATATCGAGCTCCCTTTGTATTAGTGCTTGAAAGTGAGATAAATCATCATGGGTGAATGAGTATGCAACTTTCTGGTCATTGGCAAACAAGAATGGTTTACCGTGTGTAAAGCAGCTGCAGATGTCACTGACGTATAAAGCAAAGCGTGGGAGACCTCATACACCGCCCTGAACCACACCAGAGGTGATTAGCCTGGGTTTTGAAGTGTGTGAATCTACCATCACCACTTGAGTGCGATTACTGAGGGAAGACTTAATCCATCCCAATAGTGGATAGTCAATCCCCATAGTCATCAACTTACTTATTAACAGCAAGTGATCGGCTCTGTCGAATGCCTTGGAAATGTCTAGATAGAGTACAAAGACTAATTGGTGTCGGTCGCGCGTAGTGGTTACGAAGTTAAAGGTGGTAAGCTATGCAGGACCTCGATTTTAGGAACCCATGTTGGCTCAATTTGATGATGTTGCCACTAAGCATGTGCTGAAGAACGCTTTCTTGAACGACTTTCTCCATAATTCTAGAAACTAAAGGCGTAATATTTATTGGTCCGTAGTTACTGGCCAGTGTTTTTGAACCAGATTTATATCTAGGGAGAATAAATGATGTTTACCATGTATCAGGGTATGTGAAAGATTCCAAAAAGAGAGAAAATATTTTAAGCAATAATAGTGGGATGTCAGGTCGACCGAATTTAAAGAAATGTGATGATATTCCCTCTGTGCCGGCGCTGCTGCAGCATTTTAGCGTCCCAATGGCGTCGTGAATATTAGAGTGTTTGAACTCAACTGTATCTATTGTCGTTAGTTGAAGAGAAGAATAGCTTTTAGGAGTGCAGACCACATTAGTGTCACACGAAAAATTCATAGGTTCCAAATTACTAGCTGCAAATAAGTGGCTGAATATTTCACATATGTCCACTGGATTATTATAAGCTTTGGTGTCATGGATAAGAAGAGGGATGTTATGTCTTGTGCAATTCGATCTCCTCTTAAGGAAAGCTGAGACAGCATATACTCTAGATGAGCTAGCTAGTGCACGACTCTCTTCATTCCTCAAACGCAAATCAAGGTCGTGAGAGATAGAGTTAAGAATATCAAGAATCGACCGAAGTGTATAGAAGTCATGATGTCTGCAGTATCTTGCTGATAGGGATGTAATGGATAAAAAATTATCGCTTTTTACGTTTGCTTTAAACCTCTGTTCTGTGTTGCATTCCTTACCAGTGGCTGCCTTCTGTTGCAATTCACAATGGACGTAACTGGCGTTATGTTGGGTCAGGCGTTGTTTTCTGGTAATCTGGTGCCATGAAGGCGGTCAAGGCTTTTCCTCACAAAGTACCCCGCCAATGTTCCATTAGAAGTGGTTTTATGTCGGCTCTTCGCGCTAGTAAACGATAGAGTTGGGTTGCTGTGACGTCTATTTGTGCTCTCGTTACTGGTGGGACGTAACTCAGTACGCAGAGCCTTTCCGGTGAAGCTACCGTTCGTACTTTGTGAACTCCAGAGGGGATTGCGGAATCATTTCGGATGATTGCATGATTTCCGCATCCGTTTCTACCTGTTGGGTTTCACCGGAGCATTGGCTTATCGATTGCAAATCGAATGGCCGATATCCCAGGGCCTAGGCTGGTGTGAGCTGCAGACTTTGAGCCTGCAGCAGACCTCAGTTAGAGTTCTGTGACGTCTAGTGCAGTGTCAGATTTTATGTTGGGGCTTTCTGTGGATGCGCCCAGATCTACTTTTTGGGTGGGCTGGTCAAATAGTGCGTTTCGCAGTCTTCCGTCTCCACGTTGCTCGATGCCGTTTTCCGCATATTTGACTTGGCAGGGTTTGGGGAAGGAGAAGTCTTAGGCTTGGGATGTTGGAGGAGATACCTACTGCCTTAGCATGTCGCGGCTTTGCGGTCTTTTGGCTGTCTGGTCTATGCGCAAAGTTGCATACCCGCCTTTCCATCACTGTCTTATCAAGAACTATCTTTATTCCTGTAAAGACAGGGTTATTTGCTGAGATAGATTCTGCTTTAACGAGTGTTTTCGCCTCCATCTGCGATTTAAACTGAAAGTGCATAAAACAGCAGTGGTCCTGCTGGCTCTTTTTTAGTCGAAGACACTTTGCATGAACATCACGCGTTTTCGCTGTTTTAAGCGAAATTTCTCCCACCGCCTTCAATGTTGTCGTGTCACAGACGTTACAAGCTATTGGGTTAAGTTTAAGTGCAAGTCTCTTGGTTACTTCAGTGGTGATAAAGTTTACCAGGTGATCTACCTTGGTTAGTGTTTCGGTATCAATTTCATTGATGGGTTCATCACGCGTCAAGGTGCTCAGCGGCAAGAGGTTGCTAATCTGAGCTCCATTTTCCTCCAGCCGGGGTGACACTTCAGACGCCCTTATCATATTTCTCGTGGCGCATTAATCTGTTTGCGCTCCTTCAGTTCGCGCATTACTGCCTCCAATAGTCCTCCCATAGCAGACTTCAGGC